CTGAGACAGGCATGGCCAAGAAAGACAGGGAGGGTTTCCTAGACGTCAGAGCTCTCACACCACTTAATAACAGTTTACTAAGGAATCATTATTTTTACAGGAGGTACTAAATTGTAATGTCAAATGGTCAAAGTCAGCAAAAGAGAAACTAGGAGGGGTCAAGGTAGAAAGGTGTGGGTTTGTGAACCGGCTATGCCCTTTCGCAGAGTGAGATGAACAAGGCTCTTAGCTACATCCGTAAAAGGGTATATCCGGCACCTTGGTCCACAGGATGATGGCATGTGTGAGATGAGGCAGTGCATGCGAAAGGCTTCGCACAGTGCCTAGCACATAGAGATGCAGTCACATTATTATTAGGGGAATACTGAATAAATCTATAAAAATAAAAGACTAGGAGTCCCACGAGGGCAGGTGTTGTTAAGAGTTGCACACCCAGCAGCAAAGCCAATACTTACTTCTTAAAAGCGTTTCTTGAATGAGTGGATGAAAATAAACATGAGTCTACAAATATGTCTATGATGTACCAAATAAAATCTGAATTTTCCTTGCCAGAGAGACCTTAATTTGTTTGACTGAACTGAGGTCCACTATTTATTCATGAAATATTTACTATCTACCATGTAACAAGAGATACACATTAATTAGGAGACCACTAATTCTTACTTGACTGCTTATAATACTGCCAAATATTTTCAAACATAGAAAGGAGAAAATCAGAAAAATATGTTCTTCTGTAAATATGTGAGATAGTGAAAGCTCTCTTTGACCTTAGGGAAGGTGCCATAAATAATTAACCATGCACTAAAAACTTGCCTCATCTAAAGGTCACTGCTTAAATCATTACTTTAAAACCAGTCACAATATACAAGATGTAATTAAAAACAAGCATTTTGGCATGTGAGTTAAGCTGCCCTTGTGATAATGGAATTCCATTACAAGGGTGGACTCCAGTCGAAGCTGCTCTACCTCTGATTCAGCTCCTCTGATGTGCCTGGACAAGCAATGGACAACGGCCCAAGTGGCTGGGCCCCTGCGCCCATGTGGGAGAGAGACCCTGATGGAGTTTGTGGCTCCTGAACTAGCCCCGGCCAAATAGCCATTGTGGAAAAGAACAAGCAGATGAAAGATCGCTCTTACCCCACTCTTAAAACGAATCAATAAATCAATAATCTTTATAAAAAAGGAGGGGGAAGAGAAAAGGCAGAGTAAGCAAAGGTCTCTACGGTGGCCTCTATGCTCTTGGAACTTAGCGCAAAGAACAAGTCACACAATCCAAGCACAGCCCATCTACTGGGGAGTGTAGAGGTCAAACAATCTCCCAAAAACCTAACAAGCAATTCTCTCTTTCTGCTTATGGAAAGTCACAAGGAAAGGAAGTGAGAGCCAAGAATGTCCCTTAGGAGAAAAAAAAAAAAAAAGAGTCCTACACAGTACTTCTAGGCACAAAGACTCCAGTCCTCCCGCCTTAAACAGCAGCCCATTTTCCCCAGCAACATCTTTTTTTTTTTTTAAGATTTATTTTTATTATTATTTTTTTTATTGGAAAGGCGGATATCCAGAGAGGAGAGACAGAGAGAGGAAGATCTTCCATCCGATGATTCACTCCCCAAGTGAGCCGCAACGGCCGATACTATGCCGATCCGAAGCCAGGAGCCTCTTCCGGGTCTCCCACGCGGGTGCAGGGTCCCAAAGCCTTGGGCCGTCCTCGACTGCTTTCCCAGGCCACAGACAGGGAGCTGGAAGGGAAGTGGGGCTGCCGGGATTAGAACCGGCGCCCATATGGGATCCTGGGCGTGCAAGGAGAGGACTTAACCACTTGTGCCACCGTGCCGGGCCCCCCAGCAACATCTTATAGTCCAATTTTATGTTGCTAAAAGATGAAGCTTCTTTTTCCAGAAACGGAATCTAGTTGTGGAATAAGCTTCTGTATAATGAAAATATCACTGTACTTGTGAGAAAACTGACAGAAACTGATTGTATCAATAACCAAATTGGTCAGAATGAAGCCTTTTGTAATCAAATGGAGGATCTGTGATTAGGAGGCTGTGTGGTATGCACAAAGTGTGACTCGTGCTAGGACTCATGCTCTGCCCATGGGCCTGCTGACCTCCAAAGTGGGTAAGCCCAGGGAGGGACGCTCCTTGGGCGGGCGGCTTCCCTTCCTTCTCTGCTCTCAAGTGAAGTCCTATAGAAATATGAAGGCAGATTTCCCATCACCGCTGCCACCTCTAAAATCATCACCCAATGCTTGAGGGTCTGAAAATCCTTTGTAGAAGCTAAAACAGCTCATCAGCAAGCTTCACTGTGCTCCAGCGGGCCAGATCCACTCCTTAGTTGGAAAGGTTTGGCTGCACGGCTTAACGTTCCGAACAGCTCTTTCATCTAGAAAATGAGTCTGGATGAAACACTGCTCATGGTCCTTTGCAGACTAACACTGGGAACGGAAAGTGACTTTCCTCAGTTACCCCTTTCAAAGTAATACTTACGTATCTGCAGAAATAATTCTAGGGGAATCGAAATTTCAGCTGAGGTGAATTAAATTCACCTAACATTCTGGGCCTAGTGTGACGGCTCAGCGGCTAAATCCTTGCCTTGTAAGTGCCAGCATCCCAAAGGGTGCCAGTTCATGACCCAGATGCTCCACTTCCCATCTGGCTCCCTGTCTGTGGCCTGGGGAAGCAGTTGAAGATGGCCCAAAGCCTTGGGACCCTGCTCCTATGTGGGGGAACTAGAAGAGGCTTCTGGCTCTGGATTGGCTCAGCTCCAGCTGTTGTGGCCATCTGGAGAGTGGACCAGTGGATGGAAGGAAGATCTTTCTGTCTCTCCTCCTTTCTGTAAATATAATATACATTTTAAACTAACATTCTGACTTTCCTCCAATAATACGGAAAACTTTTATTTCACTCTTGTAGATACAACTGAGAGGAGCACATTCAAAATAGTGTTAAGTGTTAAGCAGCTGCTTTCTCTGTTTTAAAAAGCATACAGTCAAGACTGAAAAGAAACAAAATCAAAATGTAAAGAGGAAATAGCTAATTTGGTATTGAAAACTGATGTACTTTGAGGGACATAATGGACAGGCAGGTACAAAGAAGGCCTCACGTTTTAAATTGTTCCACAGGAGTCATGGATGGCCCTATGTCCCTGAACTCCATGACCAGCAGGAATATTTAACTTTCTGATTGCTTAAAAATGCATTTTCTCGGGCCTGGCGCGATGGCGCAGCAGCTAAAGTCCTCGTCTTGCAAGCCCGGGATCCCATATGGGCGCCAGTTCTAATCCCGGCAGCCTCACTTCCCATCCAGCTCCCTGCCTGTGGCCTGGGAAAGCAGTCGAGGATGGCCCAAAGCTTTGGGACCCTGTGCCCACGTGGGAGACCCGGAAGAGGCTCCTGGCTGGGGATCGGCATAGCATCGGCTGTTGCGGCTCACTTGGGGAATGAATCATCGGACGGAAGATCTTCCTCTCTGTCTCTCCTCTCTGTATATCAGCCTTTCACAATAAAAATAAAATAAAATGAAATCTTAAAAAAAAAAAAGAAAATGCATTTTCTCCAGGGTTAAATCTTGCTCAGAGGAGTAACAGAGTCGCCCAGAAGAACAGAGGACTTGAAGAGGTCAGAGTTGAAGGAAAAACATGCATATGTCTGCAGCACCCTCTGCCCGTCTGAAGGACAGGGTCTGCCTGGCTTCATTTCCAAATCCACTTGCTTTCACTGTCTAATTGCAAAGACTCACCTCTGCCACTCGCCAGGTTAGGTCTTCCAGTTCAGAACTGTGCTTTGCTCCAGGGGTAGCATTCTCACTGAAGCTGTCGGACCCCATCAGAGGCCCGTCAGGACACCTACCTCACTTAACAGGAATGGAAACTTGACTTCTCCTTAAGAGAAGCTGAAGGAGGGCTCACACACAACTCGTTTTTAGCTTTCCTGCTGGAAACTTTCATATGGCTACAATGAGAACTCATCTTTTCTTTAAAAACTGTATGTGAAATAGGTCAGAAAATTTTAAAGATAAGCCAAAAATAGCAAAGCTAGGTTTCTAGGAATCGAAAAGGGGCGTGATGGAACAAGGCCTCGTCATGTGGGAGGTCTAATTCCGCAGCTTGTGCTACCGAAGCACTGCATGGCTTTTCTGTTTTTTTCTACTATGCTCTGGGCTTAGTTTTTTACTGAAAAGTAATGCTACTGAACACAATTTCTAAGGCTCCTTCTAGATTTAAACATTTTTTGAAGCATTCTTATACATAAGGGTGCTTGGCTTCCTGCTAATAGTCTCTGGAATATGGCAGGGGTGGCTCGGGAGTTGGAATCCTGCCAATCACATGGAAACTTGCACTGAATTCCCAGCTTTTGGCTTCAGTTGAAACTCGGTAGTGAACCAGAAGAGGGAAGCTCTCTCTATATGTTTATGGGTCATTCTATTTCTCTCTCTCTCTCAAAAATAAGATGGCTTATTTTGGTGCAAAAAAAAAAGGAAGCCCAACACCAAGGGTAGGTGTTGTAGCACAGTAAGTGAAGCCGCTGACTGGGATGACCACACCCCGTATCAGGGTGCTGGCTCAAACTCCAGCGACTCTGCTTACAATCCAGCTCCCTGTGAACACCTGGGAAGCAGCGGGCGATGATGGGTAAGGATTTGGGTCCCTGACTGCCACAAGGGAGGCTTGGAGGAAGTTCTCGGCCCTTTGCTTCAGCTTGGTGTAGCTCTGGCTTTTGAGGCCAGTTAGGGGGAAAACCAGCAGATGGAATCTCTCGCTCCATCTGTCTCTAAAAACAAAACCTGGAATCTATATGCATGAGGGATACTGACAAAGATATTCTAAAAAAGAAAAATGTGTATTAGGGAAAACTACATCATTTTCAAGAGTATTTTTTGGTACCAAATAAAACTCACATTTTAATCCCGTGTTTCCATGAATAGTGTGAAATATCTAGATAGGACACTAGCAAGTTCATGAGATTTGCAGCCCTTGGAGTTAGATTTGGTTTTCAAACATGA